AGGGCAGATGGAAAAGCTAAAAAAAGGAAACTTGTGAATGTATATATGTGATGTGAGAACTTGTAATAAGAGATTTGGATCATTCACATCTGAGACCGTGCGTCGGATGCTGCAGGTGGTAGAACAGTGGAACAGGTTGCTCAGCATGGCTGTGAATGCCCCTGCCCTACAGGTGTTCAAGGCCAGGCTGGCTGGAGCTTTGAGCAACCTGGTCTAGAGGGAGGTGTCCCTGTTTATAGCAGGGATGTTGGAACTAGATGGTCAGAAAGGTCCCTTCCAACCCAAACCATCTATGATTTCATGATTCTAAACCAACATTCCTGTTTTGGGTGCTTCATGGGTCAAAATGTTAGTGCAGAGCATCAATGCTCCATTACTTACATCCAGTAGAATAAACTCCATCTAAATAGTATGCTTTTTAGGAGTGACATAATTTTGATGGCATTCTTTGTCTTACCTCCATGCGTTAGTCTGGGATGCATGAATACAGGTGAATGCCAAACCCTCTACTCTCAAAAGCTCTTCAGGAACCTAGATCTGAGGGCTAAATCAGAACTCCTATGTAGTCTTCTATGAATGGGATCTGGGAGTCTGAACAGGTACCAGTGTTGGTGAGAAAGGAGCAGCTGCCATCCCTGCAACCCATCTCAGTCTGATGGGATACAGGCAAGGTGCTTCTCCAGTAATATGGAACAGGACCACTCTCCTTCAGTCTCCTGTCCATACAGAGATGTCAGCTCTCAGCAGCCTCAAAAGTGTCCTGATGTGGTCTACAGAAGAACTCTGGGGTGGGAGCTCTCTGCTCCCAGGGCTGTCATTGCAGGGCTCTCAAAGGCTTCCCTGCACCCTGGCTTCACCTTGTTCCCAAGGTCCACAGCACTGCTGAGTGCTAAGGAGGATTTCTTCCCTCTGGGACATTGTTGAGAGAGCCATCAACAGAAAATGTACAAAAGGCTACAGCTGTGTTCAGCTAAATTAGAAAATTGAAGTACAGAAGGGCAAGGAGTTTCTTGATTACTTGATTAATTCAAAGGTCGATGCATTTGAGATTTTCTTATCCAGAATCAACATAGGCTATTTTTAAACATTTCTCTTTCCCTTGCGCTTTTAATCAAGCAGCATCTATACTGATTGGATATACTGTTGTTTAAAAAATTCTGTGATTCTGGGAACATAGACAGGAGTTATTAAGGAAAGACTGTTGTTCCTTTTACCTACCATCACTAATCAGACAGGAGAAATCCCCATCCTACTGTTGAATTGGGTTGGTCTCCTAGTTTCTGTATTATTAATTACATGAGTTACTGTACACCAGTATAGGAGCAGCTCCTTCTCTTGATTCCTTGAGTTAACTCTTTCACTTGCAGTTTTCCACAGGAGGCTGAAGTCAAATCACTGGCTTTGAATGCAAATGGTCTCCATAAGCACTGTCTGCAAACCAGGATGAAGTTACTAAAAGGAACTATTGGTTTTGTTTTGATCTGCATGTGCATCTCTTCCCTGGAAGGAAATCAGAAGACACTTAAGATTACATTTACACAACAACACCCAGCAAAAGGTTATTTGTACTGAAAATAAAAGGATTAGTTTAGTCCTCTAATCTATTGTTACAAGCCTAATTATTTAACATGTCTTCATTTCATTAATGAATTGCTATTTTTTACATGTATCTCCTTCCCCATTGCTTTTGTTTAAACCTCCTGGTGGGAAGGGAGAGATTAATTTTGTTGTGCCTTAATGAAACTGTATGCTACATTAAATTTAGCCATTTGGCATGCACCGCCAACACCACCATTATGCATAATGAATTACTTTTTGTGAGTCTCAAACTAACACAGACCTTCACTGTTCCTCCACAGACAGTGACAGCACAGCTGGCAGACACACCATGTTCAGTTGTTATCTTGAATTTACATGGAAACCTAGAGCAGTTGCTCTATGCTTGACACAAGAATACAGCTTTTGAAAATTCTTTATAAAGACCTGGAAAGTTGACTCAAAAAAAATGCAACTGTTTTGAAGGGATGCGGTAAGCGCATTAAGCTTTGCTGTTATCTACCATGAGCTGCATTTGATATTCGTATGCCTGTGGGTGGGTATGTATGCTCATTCTGCAGCTGCACACTGAGCTCCCAGCAAGGCAGCATGTGCTTCACGTGGGGACCAGCCAATCTGTCTGCCCTCCATGCAGTTTACCTGCGTGTATGTGTGCGGTGCAGATTATCATATGTTTCAGCTGATGAAACTTTTAGCAAATGAACTCTTTGCCTCACAGGCAATCTGCTGACCCTGACAGAATTTTTCTTGTCCAGCTTGCTGCCAGTGAAGTGACAGAGGGAAATAACTGATTAAGCATTAATCATTAATGTTAATTGATTAAACATTAAGCAAACCAAGCTTCTTTCTCCCAGATCCAACATTCTGTCACCTTTGGTTTCTTTGCTTAATGTTGTTGATCAGAAGTGCTCAGTCTGCCTATCAGTGGGGCAGGGAAATGCAACTCTTCAAGAGTCAGAAGCTCAGTGTCTCCTTTCTCCACGCACTTAGATAAATCTGAGGATCTGAAGGTCCCAGGTATCCTCTTCTGCAAAAGGCTGTCACCCAGGAGCGTAACAGTGGAGCTATTCAAGAAGTAGAAAAATAAATGTTGTCCCATACTCCTACTCCAGCACCTTGTGTCAAGAACAGTTGAAGGCTGGTCATTGCAGCTCAACCTCCATCATACTTATCTCTCTCTTTCTATCCTCAGTGCCAGATCTGGAATAACAGAAGTTGTTTTAATTTTGGAAGACAAATGTGGCATACCACACAGTGTGTCTGATAATTACTAATTGACTGGTGTGCCAAGTAGCCTCTAATGCATTAGTGACACCTGCTGTATTATTATGTCCACTTCCATTGCTGCTTGTCTTCAGCCTCAGTATCCTCAGCTCAGAGCAGTTGCCTCTTTTTTATGTGCCCACACTGAGCTTTGCTAACCATCCTGGCCTCCATAGGCAGAACAAAATTAACCCCAGAACAAGACAGGACTCTGGGGTAAAGTGCAGCAGATCTGTAGAGTCTGTTTTATTGTCTGCATTCCCATAAAAAGCTTCACATGCCTGTGGAAGGATTTCATGTGTCTGAGCAAGATAAGCAGCACTGGGACTAGTGTTTCTGAGGTGGTTTGGAAGCGAGGATGATAATAATGCATTTAAAGAACAAAGAGATTTTCTTTCCTTCTGGTAAGAGCAGATGCTCTCAGATTTGCCTCAGTGTATCTCTTTTACATTTTTAACATTAAAACTTCATAGAGAAGCTCTATATCTACAGAAAACCATCTCTATCTCAGCAGACTTTATTTAGTTGGATCTAACTTTGATATTAATGCTGGTCTGAGTAAATCCATGCTGGTCTCTAGAGCGTCCTTGCAGTTGTGCCGCCCTTTGAACTTACAGGGACAATGTCCATTAAATGTTCCAAACTTCTGACCTGCCAAGCTGTTTTCCACATACTTGCAAAGTTAGATTCTACTTCACAGAATACCCAGAGAAGGGAGTTTCTCCTTCTTTGTTTCCAGCCTACCAGAGCAATTTTTTCTCCTAAGACCCAATTACAATTTCCACTTCTATCTTAGAGGATTCATTTATTTTTGAGAAGTGAACTTAACCTACCATATGCTTATTTTAGTTAAAGGTTAGGTGGAGAGGGCCACTACAAATGAACAATAATAGGAAATATACACTCTCTAGTAAGAATATGTTACATTCCTAGTGCATACCTAGTGCTGTTTGCTGATTTTATGTAGTTGGTGCATAATATTCATGAACAGCCTTGAGAGGACCGGTGTCCATCCCTACTTTTGTTACCCATTCTGCCCATAGACATTGGTGACTGCTTTCTCCCATTATACTGCTAGTAGTACTGAGTCTCACTGCAGAATCCTGTTCTCCCTAAGACCTGTTATGGACAGGTTAGATACCTCTTCCAGCTGCTGGATGCCTAAAATGAAGAAGTGTCCTCACTTTTCAGTGATAACTGAGTCTTCTTTAACCACACAATCATAATATTGGGTGTTAAAAGGTAAGGGGGCCTGTGAGAGCTGGTCGGCATTTAAGCAGCTCTTCTTCCAAGCTCAGGATCAGTGCGTCCCTGTGAGGAAGAAATCAGGAAAGGGTGGCAGGAGACCTGTGTGGATGAGCAAGGAGCTCGTGGTCAAACTCAAAGGAAAGAAGGCCCATAAAATGTGGAAAAAGGGTCTGACCACTTGGGAAGAATACAGGAATGTTGTCAGGGCCTGCAGGGATGCGACGAGGAAGGCTAAAGCCCGCCTGGAATTAAATCTGGCAAGGGGATAAGGATAATAAAAAAGGCTTTTTTAAGTACGTTAACAGTAAAAGGAAGACTAGGGAGAATGTGGCTCCCCTGCTAAGTGACGGGGGTGTTCTGGTAACAGGGGATGCTGAGAAGGTGGAAATACTGAATGCCTTCTTTGCTTCTGTCTTCAGTGAAAAAGCTCCCCCTCGGGAATCTGAGACCCTGGAGGTTAGTGAGAGGATCTGGGGTATGGAAGACCTCCCTTCAGTCAGGGAAGAGGTGATCCGAGAGTGCCTAGGCAACACCAATGTTCACAAATCCATGGGACCCGAGGGGATGCATCCACGGGAGCTGAGGGAGCTGGCAGAGGTGATTGCTGAACTGCTTTCAATCATCTTAAAAGGTCTTGGAGGACGAGGGAGGTGCCTGAAGACTGGAGGATAGCCAATGTCACTACGGTCTTCAAAAAGGGCAAGAAGGAAGATCCAGGCAATTATAGGCTAGTCAGCCTCATCTCTGTCCCTGGAAAGGTGATGGAACAGCTGGTGCTGGATGTCATCTCCAGACAACTGGAAGAAGAGGAGGTTATCAGGAGTAGTCAGCACGGGTTCACAAGGAGGAGGTCGTGCTTGACCAACCTGGTAGCCTTCTATGATGCTGTCTCTGGCTGGGTGGATGGGGGGAGAGCAGTGGATGTAGTCTACCTTGATTTCAGCAAGGCTTTTGATACTGTCCCCCACGACATCCTTATAACAAAGCTGAGGAAGTGTGGGATAGATGAGTGGACAGTGAGGTGGGTTGAGAACTGGCTGACTGGCAGAGCGCAGAGGGTCGTTGTTGGCGGTGCAGAGTCTGGTTGGAGGCCTGTAAGCAGTGGTGTTCCTCAGGGGTCGGTGCTGGGTCCGGTCTTGTTCAACATCTTCATCAATGACCTTGATGAGGGGATAGTGGCCACCCTCAGTAAGTTTGCTGATGATACGAAGTTGGGAGGATTGGCTGACATGCCTGAAGGCCATGCTGCCATTCAGCAAGACCTGGACAGGCTGGAGAGCTGGGCAGAACAAAACCAGATGAGGTTTAACAGAAGCAAGTGTAGAGTCTTGCATCTGGGGAGGAATAATCGCATGCAGCGGTACAGGTTGGGGGATGAGGCTGCTGGAGGGGAGCTCTGCAGAGAGGGACCTGGGTGTCCTGATGGACGACAGGTTGGCCATGAGCCAGCAGTGTGCCCTTGTGGCCAAGAGGGCCAATGGCATCCTGGGGTGCATTAAAAAGAGCGTGGCCAGCAGGTCGAGGGAGGTGATCCTCCCCCTCTACTCTGCCCTGGTAAGGCCTCATCTGGAGTACTGCGTCCAGTTCTGGGCTCCCCAGTACAAAAAAGACAGGGATCTCTTGGAAAGAGCCCAGCGGAAGGCCACAAAGATGGTGAAGGGCCTGGAGCATCTCTGCTATGAAGAAAGGCTGAGTGAACTGGGTCTGTTTAGCCTTGAGAAAAGGAGACTGAGAGGGGACCTGATCCAGGTCTATAAATATCCAAGGTGTGGGGGGCAGAATGGCAAGGCCGGACTGTTTTCAGTGGTGAGTGGAGACAGGACAAGGGGAAACGGCTGGAAACTGCAGCATAGGAAGTTCTGCAGCAATGTGCGCAAGAACTTCTTTACAGTGAGGTGACGGAGCACTGGAACAGGCTGCCCAGGGAGGTGGTGGAGTCTCCTTCTCTGGAGATGTTCAAGACCTGCCTGGATGCCGACCTGTGCGACCTGCTGTAGGGAACCTGCTTTGGCAGGGGGTTGGACTCGATGATCTCTGGAGGTCCCTTCCAACCCCTACAATTCTGTGATTCTGTGATATATGTCTTTCTAAATATGTGTACATATACACACTGATGTGTATGTGGCCATGTACAGCATTTCCAAAGATTTTCTGCTGTAACCAGTGACAACGGCCTTCTAATTGGGAAATATTTTCCTGAGCAGATGCATGCTGACTTGATCTTGCAGGTGCCATCCATTGCTTCTGAACGTGTTTGTAGAAGACAGGTTTTTTTTAATCTTCTCCTGTAATCAGCTCCCAGGAGACGAAGCTCTCAGTTTGTGCAAGGTACAAGTATTGTACACTGCACCAACTCAGACACAGAATTCTGAAACACTGCCTAGGTCTCGTCTGTGCCAATGTAGCTGTTATTAATACCTACATGTATGATAAGATTAACAAGATTTCTCAGACAAAACCAAGTAAAACAAAGCATAGTAAAAGCCAGTTCTGTGAGCTGGATAAGAGTTTAGAACTCATCGATAAAAATTAGCAGCTATTAATCCTGCACACACTCTCTGCAATTTGTAATTACAGTCATTGAAGCTAACAGGTACACTGCAAGACTGCAAAAAGGGACACTGTCTATAGAATTAAATTTGCAGACATATAATTCTGATTTTTTTTCATACGTCTCTGAAAAAAGCAAACAGAACAGCTTGGCGAAACGATGGCAAGTCATTTTCCTCAGCTGGCAAGGTTCTTTTCTAGGAAATCCTTCTTTGTTTGCCAATGGACAATATTAATAACAAGGACTTCACCTGAAGGGAATAAATGCACAAAAACTGCATTAAAGTTACATTAAGGGGTACATTGTAAAGTCTGATTTATTTAGATCCACAAAAGTGTGGAAATTTACTGCCAACTGACACACTCTATTTAGCACGCCCTGGACTGCTCTGTCACTGAAGAGAAGGGGATGCGTAACTTCAAGCCTCTTCCCTGGTGCCTTATTGTGCTCATCCCTGAAGAAGTTGCTGCCTGTTGCCTTCACTGGTGAGAAGGGAGCTCTGCTAAACATGCAGCTTCATGTGTGATGACTGATGCAAATCACTCAAAAAGCTAACTTTCCTTAGAAACTTTGGACTACAATTACATCTGTTATGTTTTCCTTTAATCTTTGAAAGAAAGGTTTCCAGCTGAAGCAGTGAAAAACATCAACTGTGCCTGCTGGAGGGCTTGGCAGGGCACACTGCATCACACCTTTCATCCTGAGAAACTGCAGAGGACTTAGTGGGCATACAGGGAGTGCATGCCAAGCACATGTGGCATGCCATCTTTAATGAAAGTCTAAAGAATAACAGACCTATTGAAGGAAGTTGTTAGTTTAAGTACAGGCATGAAGATATTTTACCCTGTGTTAGGAGTGAGGCCCCTGGAGAAATGAACATTGCCTTAGTTTCTAAGATCCATGAAGTTCTGCTTTGTCTAATGGGACTAATAGTTTGGATATTGATCTTTGAGAAGCATGGAAGGTAGCAAATGGAGGAGCACACAGTTGATTGCATGGTGTGTAGAGCAGTCCTTAGAGGCCCACAAAGCATATGCTGCAGCCTGGAGTTAATTCAGATACAAGGGAATTGAGTGTAAGGCTGGATGTCAGGGTGCCTTGGTTATATTCTCAGTATAGGGATTAGATTTCACACTGGAGATAGCATAACTGGGAAATTCAATTTGGCATGCAAAGGGTATTGAGTTAGATACGTTACTTTAGAGACCTATATTCTCCTCTCTGGTAAAGGAACGTAAAACCTAGTTCAATAATGATAGCAGTCCCGTTTGGAAATATTAGCAACAGTCCTTGGAAGAGATACTCTTAAAGATTTTGCTTTTGGCCAAAATCATTGTATTACATGGTGTCTTAAACATGTTTTCTTCTCTCTTTTTCCGTAATCTGTAATAGGCACAGGCCTTTGAAGATGTTACACTTGGCTATCTGTGAAGGTAGTGACTTACACTAAGGGAGTTGAAAGGCAAAGTATAGCTGACTGTCTTCAAGCACTTTTCAACCCTCCTACAACATTCACATCACTTAGGCCAATGTTTCATTTGCTGCAGTGCCTGTGGTGAAGTAGGAAGGACCATGCTCAGGCCTGTAGGGAAGATTTAGAGGGGCTGATTGCTGCCTTTCTCATTGATTTCTAAAAAAACCGAGGATGCTCTCTGAGGTTGTGTATTTCCTGTATATATTAGATACTTTTTACTGTGCGCCAGCACTGACTTTCTTGTTGACATACAGAGGGAGCTGCAAGTGTTATCCCAGTGAGAAGGCCATCTCAGTACAAAGTCTCCCACGTGGGGAACTCTTGTAGCAGCAGCACTGTATTTTCAGCATCTTGATGTGCAGATGGACACAATCTGTCATTCAGGCAGTACAGGGCCTGTGAGCCAGCTTCTCAATGCACACCACCTCTCAGCTTCATCGTCTGCCCTGAAGCCAGAGTGCAGGGTGAGCAAGAGAGAGCAAGTTTGCATTACCAATGAAATCTAGTTCGAGTCACTGTATGAACTGCACAGCTCTGCTGCCTCCAGGCTGTTTCTCTCCTTGCTCCAGATCTGCCATTTCCCTTCTGCTGTATCTCAAGCATGCCAATCTTATTATGACACAGTACTGTGGAACACCATCACGTCTGTTTCCAATCAAAGGGTGGTAATGAGTAAAATGAATGGATTCTATCAAGATGTTTGTGTCAGGTTGTTAATGTACAAACTGATACTGAATTCAGTGGATAAAGATAGTTCATAGTTAAATGGAGATGTGTAGTTAACCAGTGTCCAGCTGAGACTCATGCCTCAAGGAGCTGCTAATGGACCAGCCCAGCCAAGCATAGGACATAACAGCTGATCAACCTCAATGAAGTTCATCTTCAAAGGAGTGAGATATTCTAAGGACTGTCATCAGGAAGAGCAACAGCTGTCTCCTGAATAATAACAAGGGAGATCTCTGAGATCTGAGTTAACTGCACGAATACAGCAAAATATTTAAAAATGCGTAGTACTCACTTGTAATATACAACAGTCTGTTTACCGGAATCAACAGAAAGTTTCTCTTGAAACAAAACAAAACTAAAGGCAGTGGAGCTCTGTGCATTTCAGAATACTTGCTGTCAGATGTTTTGAAGGTGTTTTTACTCTTGTATTACCAAAAGCACCAGTTTTGAAGACTAACTTGTTATACAGTTGAATGTGTCAGAGATCATGCTTTTGAGATGTAGGCTGAAATGTTTCTCCTTACAGTTCTGGTGATGAGACTGGGCCTGCAGAACAGACCTTCCATTTCTTGCTCTTTTCTTGATTGGTCTTTTTTTTCTCGATTGCTAAGGAAATGGATATTTACCTGGAAGTGTTCAGTTCTCTTATCCTATGCACATACGGAATCACCATGATCTAGCAGAGACATAAGGATACTTTATATCTTCATACTGATGACGACCCAAATTTTCCCCTTGTCTGTTTACTCAGCAAATCAATATACCCATAACAACATTCTTCCTAAAGTAATTCTGGAATCGTTTTTCTCAAAGAGGATATTTTCCGTGGAAAAAGTTCTACTGGAACCCCCTAATTTCCTCCCCTTTTTTTTTTTTAAACACCTCATTGCTATTATTCCCCAGAGCCACTCTTGTAGTCTCTGACCTTGGCCAGCCTGTGTTCAGCAATTTGAAGCAGATGAATATGGATAGGTATGCAGATATATATTATTTAATATGTGTTATTCAAATTAAAAAATTAAAACGATCTAAAGGTGTTAATTTGAATTCTCCGTGGCTGTGTTTTTTACTAAGTATATTTTAGCAAGTCAAAAGAAAGAAAAACAACTAAGTTCACAAGTTTTACGTATAGAAGAAAAATACAGTTAGAAACAGAGGAGAGATTAGTATTTTGTCAGATCTAAAATGCTTGATAATAAAATGAACTTTTCTTCCTGTAGGCCAAGTAACTTACCATTGTTTTTCAAATCACTCATTCATTGTACAAAAAATATGCTTATTTTCCATATTTTCTGTAAATGTATTATTGCAAGAATAAAATTTTTGTGATTTCATGGCTAAATTACAAATACTGGAATAGAGAAATTAGGGGCTACATTTCTTTGGTAATGTATGCAGCTTCAGGGTAGCTTTTACACTGCACTTACAATTTGCTTGTCAAGAAATAGAATTTTCTAATGCATGCTCAGCATTTTAGAGTCAATGACATATATGTTCCCTGGTGACTTTGATGTTTTGGAACATTCCATTTAAGAATAAATTTGAGAAACTCTTAAGCCACAAATTTCCCTAGTCAGTGTATTTACTCTCTGCAGTACATAAAGGGATTTGTATAAAGTTTTTAAATATGATGAAGTTTTAAATATGTAATATGAAATAGTTTCATATTATCAACTATTTCTGAGCTACAAAGCCAATGATTAAAGCATGTGTATGAGATTAAGAATAGAAATGTTTATGAGTCAGAAGGTCTTCCAATATGGAGACAACAGCAATCATTTAAATGAGAAGCCTCGTAAGTGCATCAGAAAGAATCTGGTAAGCTTTAACATGGCACTGAGCCAACTGAAATAAAAGGTTTTATCTTCTTATGATTCTGTGGGTTTACTAATTCTGTTTCTATTCCAATCTAAGATTCATTACTAAAAAAGCCCAACGCAAGTTAATTCTGTGTCACAGCAGCACAATGCCATTGATGCAAACCTTTGCAGCAGAATGGAAGATATGACCCAA